TTTTTTTTTTTTTTTTTTTTAATATGAATATTCTTATCGACGCAGTCCATCCCTTGGAGCCTCGCAGCTTTCGCAGCTTCCTGGTGTGCAGCATTGCATTGACCACTTCTTCCGAGGTCCGACGCCCTTTCGGGCAACCTTGGACTACATCTTCACCACCTCAGCGATTGAGGCGGTTCTGAGATTGTAACAAAACTGGTGGCGCCGGTGGTGGTCGTGGTATGGTAGTGATACCAGCAGTAGTGATGGTGATCAAGTTTTGTTATCTTCATCCTTTTGGGCTCCCAGGTGGTTCAGGTTCTGCCTCTGCCGCAAGTGCCTTCGGGGGATCCAGTTCTGCCCACTGCAGAGATGCTTGGCTGCAAAGCTTTGGAGAAGTTTTCCTGGGCGCTTCTCCAGAGTTACGTTTCTGAGCTCTACTCTAAACCATACATACCTCTATATGGGACTTGTGCTCAGGGGTATCTGGGTTGAATGGTTAGGGAGTGCGGATGAAGTGAAACTACTGAGGCAACCGTCAGACCACGTGCTCCTTGCAGCTGACTTGGCGCTGTAAGTTATGGGGAAGGAGCGCAGGAAAAGCAGAAGCGCTTTCAGGTGACGTTGTTCATCTGAGACTTCCTCTAAGTCAATCCACCCTTTGCTAGGAGGCGGGGCCTACAATCAGGATCTTGCTAGACCCTCATTCCACGCGGTGAACCCTGAATGCAACATTGAACGGTAAGTCGCTGCAGTTTGTATCAGTACTTCAATGCAAGCTCTGCAGCCGCGCTAGATTAGAGCTCGAGCTTCGATTCTGCACTTGGAATGAGGCGTTTTGGGTTCCGAGTTTAGAGTTTGGGATTCAGACTTCACACCTGGGGCTTAGAGTTGAGCTTTAGGATTCAGCATGGATCTTGAATGTAGGGTTGTTCTCAGTTGTTCTCGGCATTCTGGTCATCCAGGGTCTACTTCCGGGATGCATGCCGACAGAGACTACTGATAAGATGCAAGCCATCCATTTGGTGGGGTTGGGCTTATGCCACTAAGACCCTAAACCCTGAGAGGGTTCATAGAGAAACAGCTTTTTCGAAGCTAAAACGTAAACAGCACGTTGGAGCATGATGCAGAAGCACGAGGACTGGGATTTGCTTCTGATGGCCAACACACGCGCTCAACATTTGACATTGGATCGTGGGAATGCCCTTTGCAGGAGGCCCCTTTAAGCGGTAGGTCCTTCCGCTGAGACGCGCAAGGTTTGGAACGATGCGGCGACAGAACTCTTTGACAAAATGGCTACGACTACCATAGCATACTATGATTGCTTTGTTGGTATGAGAAATTTACTATATGCACTATACTATACTATACTATACTATACTTACTATACTATACTATACTATATTATACCATACTATACTCTACCAGAAAATATTAGTGTTCCCGGTGCTTCCTCTCCCTCAGTGCCAGCAACGCCAAGCAGCAGCCTGTGACCTTTGCCTTTCTGGCTCTGCAGTGTTTAGCCATGAAGATCAGTTACTAAAGGATTTGCCAACTAGGGGTTTGGGGTTGTAGGGTTATAGGGTTTAGGATATAGGGTTTAGGATATAGGGTTATAGGGTTTAGGGTTAAACAGCTCAGGATTAAACCATCGGGAAAATTATTGTCCCCAGTTCTTGAGTGTTCGCCGGCATGCGCGAGCTTGTCTGTTGCTGCGCCTCCGATGACGGCGTTCCTCTGCTGGTTGGACCAGGCATCCGAGGGCAGCAGATGCACTCCCCTTCTGGTCTTACACACCCACAAGATCCTGTTTGAATCCCTAACCCTAAACTCTAAGCCCTACACCCTGAAACAAAACAAATCCGCAGAATTGGGAGCCATTACCTCGAGGCGAAGAACTGGAAGAAAGAGAGAGCCGGAAGCCTCCGCCAGATGCCGATGTCGTGCAGTTCTCGACCCCGCTTCTTGGATGCGGTCCTCTCCCCTTCAAGAGTGAAAGAAGGGAGCTACAAAAAACGATTACCACAATTCATGTAAAAACTCCTCAACATTTTAAGAATCCCAGAGGAAACAACAGATGATGCTGTGGACCACTGTCTGGCTGCTCAACCCTGAAAACCCCTCAATCCTAAACCTAAAAGCACTAAGCCCTCGACCCGAAATCCTAAACTTAAGCCCTGAATCCCAAGAAAGACTAAAGTCCCGACTTGAGACCATAGTAGTTTCCATGTTGTTTTCCTTTATCCTTTTATTCCTCTGGACCCATATATATATATACACGTACATATAACCTCTATTTTCTCCCGATACACCCCTTCGTACCCCTACACAATCCTAAATCCCATCTGAGGCAATACTTCGTCGAGGCAGTCCTCCGTACTCCAACCCAATAGCCATTGGGTTTTGGGTTTTGGAGTTTAGGCCCCTTTCTCTGTGCAATAACGCGCACTCTCAGAAATTGTCTTTCTGTGGTCTACAGAGGATCTGGAGCACAACAGTCTAGAGCAAAGAACAGAGGATCTTGATTTCGAAGGGTTGGCGCACTAATTACTCCCCTCCTTCCTACTTGATACACCCCCACCCCGCCTAATATCAAATGCTTCCAATATGTTCTAGCATACCATAAAGAGAAGATTGTTAATTAGATGATTGGGGTGGGGGTTTTAATATGGAGGTGAGGATGTTAGCAAGATTTAGATGTGAACCAGCATCCGATTCTGGTCTTCTTTGGTCAGGAGACGGAGGGGCAGCTGACGATTGACGTCATGCGCATGGGATCAATGAAAGGCGGGCGTCTTCGCAACACCATCTTAATGCTTCACACCTGAAGAGGCACCCACTCAAATCCCACTGCAACCTCCAAACCCCAAATCCTAAACCTTAAATCAAAAGATGGATCCTAAACACCGAACCTTTAAATCCTAAACCGTAAGCCCCTAAATCGTAAACCCTATAAACAACCCTATTTTGAGACATCCCCAGGTGTAGTGAAGGTGTGGTACAGAACAGCCCCTCGGCATGCCAACTGGTACTGAGTCCTTAGTCCAGGCAACGGGTAAGAGCTCCAAGGGTCCCTTCATGGTGCGAGGGACTTCAGAAATCCAAGCCGGACTGAGTTTCCATCCAAATTTTGGGAGTTTAGGGTTCAATTAGGGTTGAGAGGTAGGATTCTTGAAGCCTCCTCCTAAAACTGACGGCCCTTCTACAACAGTCAGATTTCCTTGAGAGTACCCCCCGCACAACAGAAGGGAAGTTCTTGTGAGCCATAGTCTAAACTCCTAGTATCCCTCTTATGATATCCCTTATAGTAGTCCCCTATACAATCCCTTATATAACCCCCTTTAGTAGTTTAGGGAGTTTAGACTGTAGTTCATATGGCGCCTAGGTAGATGCTTCGGGGGAAGCGGGCGTGAATTACGAGAAGGCCTTTGGTGAGCTGATCTTTGGAGATCAGGAGCAGCATGACTGGAATTTTTTAGGTGTATATTCGGGTTATATAGAGTCATATTGAGGTAATGGAAAATAAAATGGATGACATATTAGGGTTATATAATCGCCCTCCTTGCTGGTGCCTTAGGGGCTGTGAGGGAACCGAACCCTAGAATGATCCCCTATGCCCAGTACGGCAACTTCTATGCTCCCCACTTTCCCCTTTTTGAGCACCCGGAATTACGTCTCAACCCTACACCACCCATACCCTCACAAGCTAGAACACGGAAATAGGCATCCATCCTACTACCTTGCTTCTACATGGTTCAGGGTTTAGGGTTTAGGAAGCTCAAGCGCGAGGCCTAGTACTGTTGCCGCCCAAGGAGATGTGGATGAGCAAAATGGAAAAGAATATGGAATTCATGTCGTCTAATAGGGTATATATTGGGGTTATGTAGGGATATATAGGGATGTTACCCCGAATCATGGAGAATCTAAACGGAAATGAACATGAAGATGAAATGGATTGTATAGAGGCTTATAGGGCTATCCCAAAATTAAGGGTTTTTAATTGGGCGGTCCAAACAAGGACTATAGTACATATGCAGTTCACAAGCATCCGGTGCCTCTATACATGCCGGTCACATTAAGCACAGAACTCCGATGGTAACAACAAAACTGCGACTCCTGTAGGGCCTAAAAGCACCAGCTAACCCCACACCTTA